CCCAGCCTGGACCATACACATCACCAAGGACCCCAGCTGGACTCACACATCACAAGGACCCCATCTGGACCCACACATCAACCAAGGACCCCAGCTTGGACCACACACATCACAAGGACCCCGGCTGGACCACAACATCACCAAGGACCCCAGCTGGGACCACCATCACCAAGGACCCCAGCTGGACCACCACATCACCAAGGACCCCAAGCTGTACCACACATCCACCAAGGACCCCAGCTGGACCCACACATCACCAAGGACCCCAGCTGGACCACACATCACAAGGACCCCAGCTGGACCACACATCACCAAGGACCCCAGCTGGACCACACATCACCAAGGACCCCATCTGGACCACACATCACCAAGGACCCAGCTGGACCACACATCACCAAGGGACCCCAGCTGGACCACACATCACCAAGGACCCCAGCTGGGCCACACATCACCGGAGGATCCCAGGCTGGACCACACATCACCAAGCGACCCCAGCTGGACCACACATCACAAGGACCCCAGCTGGACCAAAACATCACCAAGGACCCCCAGCTGGACCACACACATCCACGAGGACCCAGCTGGACCACACATCACCAAGGACCCCAATTCTGGACCACACATCACCAAGGAACCCCAGCTGGACCACACATCCACCAAGGGACCCAGCTGGACCACCACATCCACCAAGGACCCCATTCTGGAACCACACATCACCGAGGACCCCCGCTGGACCCACACATCACAATGACCCCAAGCTGGACCACCACACATCACCGAGGACCCCCTGGACCACACATCACCAAGGACCCCAGCTGGACCACACATCGCCAAGACCCAGCTGGACCCACACATCCACAAGGACCCCATCTGGACCACACATCACCAAGGACCCCAGGACCACACACATCACCGAGAGACCCCAGCTGGACCACACATCACAAGGACCACAGCTGGATCAACACAATCACCAAGGACCCCAAGCTGGACCACAACACATCAACGAGGACCCCATCTGGACCACACACATCACCGAGGACCCCATCGACACACACATCACCAAGGACCCCAGCTGGACCACACACATCACCGAGGACCCCAGCTGCGGACCACCACACATCACCAAGGACCCCGGCTGGACCACACATCACCAAGGACCCCAGCTGGACCACCACATCACCCAAGGACCCCAGCTGGACCACACATCCACCAAGGACCCAGCTGGACCACACATCACCAAGGACCCCCAGCTGGACCACACAACACCAAGGACCCCAGCTGGACCACACATCACCAAGAACCACACATCACCCAAGGACCCCAGCTGGACCACACATCACCAAGACCCCAGCTGACCACAACATCACCAAGGACCCCAGCTGGACCACACATCACCAAGGACCCCAGCTGGACCACACATCACCAAGGACCCCAGCTGGACCACACATCACCAGGACCCCAGCTGGACCACACATCACCAAGGACCCCAGCTGGACCACACATCACCAAGGACCCCAGCTGGACCACACCATCACCAAGACCCCAGCTGGACCACACACATCACCGAGGACCCCAGCTTGGACCACACATCACCAAGGAGACCACACATCACCAAGACCCCAGCTGGACCACACATCACCAAGGACCCCAGCTGGACCACACATAGGACACACATGGATGGACCACACATCACCAAGGACCCCAGCTGGACCACACACATCACCGAGGACGCTGGACCACACATCACCAAGGACCCCAGCTGGACCACACATCCAAGGACCCAGCTGGACCACACATCACCAAGGACCCCATCTGGACCACACATCACCAAGGCCAGCTGGACCACCACATCACCGAGGACCCAGCTGGACCACACATCACCAAGGACCCCAGCTGGACCACACATCACCAAGGACCCCAGCTGGACCACACACATCACCGAGGACCCCAGCTGGACCACACATGGACCCCAGCTGGACCATCACCACCCCATGGCGAGGACCCCATCTGGACCACACACATCACCCCCAGTGGACCACACACATCACCACCCCAGCTGGACCACACATCACCAAGGCCCCAGCTGGACACATCACCAAGGACCCCAGCTGACCACGCATCACCAAGGACCCCAGCTGGACCATCCACACAGCCACGACCATGCAGGAAACCACACCATCCGGCTCACTGGTCGCGCCGTGACCTTGCCTGCCACACAGCGCTACAAATCTCAAAGGTCAGCGGCCCGTTCTCTGTCTTGTCAGCTGTGCATCTCCCCAGCCTCTCCTCTCCTCGCGCCACATCCAAAAATCCGTGTGAAGTTAAAAGAGAAAGAAAGAGAGAGAGAGAAAAAAAAATCGGTAATCATTGCCTAGTTATTCCTTAAATTTCTTGTTCTGTGTTCAATTCTTAATAGTGGCGTTATTTTTTTTTTTGTATTCCGTGTTCACTTATTAGTTCTAGGTATTCGTTTGCAGAGTTTCTGAGTTTTCTTACTAAGTCCGTATCTTAACCGCCGACTGAGGATGCTCTTCCTTCAGCGCCGCCCGCACGCTCGCCTTCTGTGACGCCGCCTGAAAATGGGTTTCCTTCAGCGCCGCCCATTCACTGCAGTTCTGAAGCCCGAGAATATCGCACTCTCGGCATCCGTTAGCACTCAAATATTTAACTAGCAAATCGAAAACTGATATCACAAACACTGCTACAATACCTACGTCCTGTTTTCTACGTTACTTACGTCTTTTACACCACCAAAATGTAATGGCGTATGTTAGGCTAAGACACACCTCTGGTAAAAATCCTCTCAAAATCTGTTCTCACCTTTTTGAATTATCCTGCTGACAGTAAAACAATCAACGAACGAACAAACGGAAGTAACAATATAAACATAAGGCCATAGAATACACAGAAATTATCTGTCTAAACTTATATATCACATATACATATTTTTACACCACCCTGTATTTGTATATCCGCATTTCAGGGCAGTGTTAAGTTAAGTAAGTTTATTTACCACCCTGGCTAACTGCTCAGGCGTAGGCAATCGTGATTACAATGTTACATACATTCACATACATTCGACAGAGTACAGTATTCTGTGATTACAGTAACTATACATGGAAAAATGGGAATATGTCATACAGTATGCAAACGTATATTACCTTTGATCTGCCTTTGCCTTTGTGTTTACATAAAAGTGTTCTGTGGTGCGTTTTATGATTATGAGGGCAGTGTTGGTGTGAAAGGCGGGTATTTCGTCCCGTAGAGTTACAAGGCCTGGGACCCTCACCTCAAGACGCGTGCCCCTTCTCTCGTTTCCCCGCCTGCGAGTGTGATATTCGCTGGTATGGAGAACGATGCTATTTCAGACCAGTATATGTTGTAAAACCCCAATAGAGTAATAATAAAGGGTAATATTGGGTGATCACATATGAAACTATTTCATATACCATTTATCCAAACTGTAAAAAATATAGAGGAAAAAAATCGCGATATTTCTATACATCACCTATTTGGCAAAGCAGGTTGGTATGTTCAAAACATTTTGCTGAAGGATGAACTGACGAAATATTATCCAAACATAAACGAAATAAAATACTCTACATGATCCAAAACAAAACGAAAAAAAACTACTCTATATTTGTATACAAAAATTATTCATTATTTTTCGTTTGCCAATGAGGTCTACCAGGGTGGTTACTGCTTGGGCTTGAATTTCGGATGTAATTGTGACCAAGACTGAGCGATTAGGGCGACTGCAGAAAGATACGTTGTCTACTTAATTTTGGAGGCATTGTTGGAGTAAGGGATATTCTCGGAGAAAGGGGCTGTTGGGGGAACTAAAAAAATCGGCCTAAAGAGATTACTCAAGAGATTTGAAGAAGTGGGAATTGTACAGAGGGGTGAGGACGGGAGGAGGGAGTGGTGTGAAAAGAATTTGTATTGTGGGGGTGTGGGCAATAAGGCTGATGAGTCGTAATGAGGAAGGAGGAGGTAGAACGTGAAGATGATTGTTCAGGAGGTGGGCTGCAAGATGTTGAGAGTGAATATGGGAAAAATTGAAAAATGGGTTGATAATTCGGGATGGGTCAAGTTGACAGCATGTTTAGAGGATGGAGGTGTACTAGCAGTGGTCGGAATCGTGGTCAAAGGGAAGTCAGGGGTCGGTAAACCAAAGTAGTTAAATACAGAGAGGCTAGTTGATAAAGGTGCAAGCCTCAATATCTCCTGATAAGGGTACAAAATCTTCATTACTGGCCATTGTAAGTCTGGAATGTGTGGGGAAGGTAAAAAGGTCCACCCCTCAGGATTCCTATAAGGGGTAGGGGCTAAATGATTTACCAAGGAATACCATGGTATGGCTACCTGAGGCTGTTCATGATTGGCACAAGGTCAGCCCTTCATCCTTTCAACATGGCTCTCACACATTAGGAATTAGATAGGGGAAGGGTTGGGCAAAATAAGAGAAAAATAGTTAAGAAGAAAAGATCGAGCAAAATCAGTAGATGCAAGGGCTGAGGTCCAAGGAGGGGGAGATCCCATGCCTCGGGCCTCAGTCTCGGTCTCCCAAGTCCCCCCATGACAACAACGGGCAAGGGATTGGGGCGGGGGATCGTCTAGGTAAAATATTCCCATAAAATAAACAAAGTTGAAATCGAAAAAAGTATCTGCAACATTTCCCAAATTTAGGATGAATCTGTTAAAAAGACAAAAAGCAGACAATCCCCTGAATGAACTACTTGATGTAACATCTGAATTCATTAAAAAAGGAGTGCATTTATCTATATCACTTTGGTTTCTGATAAAAACTGACCTTCATAAAAAGGCAACCAACCAATTCACATTTAGAAATGTCGTCTTTATTAGACTTTCTGAATGCTTAAGGATCTTAATCGTACCATTATTAGTATATATGCCCTTAAAAGGAAATACTAATAACATTCATCTGAATCTGAGGAGCCTCATTTGCAATGCAGAACACAAAGCAACTCATCATTTTGTATACATTTTATTTATCCATATTTTTTTATACAAATATTCCTGTTGTTAACAATTCACTTCTAGCCTTGAAGTGTTTAATATTCCTTAAAACTATTATGTATAAAAATGAACAAAATCCTAAATTGTCAACAGTTCACTTCTAGCTTTGAAGTTTTTAAAATTCTTTAAACCTATTATGTATGAAAATGAATAAAATCCTAAATCATAGACCAATGTGACTTTCTGAGAAGATATGATCTTTTCTCCATCACTCCTTTCTAAGGACAATTTCCCTCTTCACGTCCATAGCGTCTTCCAAGTCCTCCATCTTAAGCCGTTCTCTGTTTTCACAGCCTACATTTGGACAGCTGAAAAAAGGGGATTGTTACTGGTATCTTTTATTCAATTTGAACTTAAACAAACCAGATTAAGGATTTGAACTAGAATGTGAACAGCGTTTGGGCTAGTGATATTTGACAATCACGGGAAAGAGAGAAAAAGAGAAAGAAAAAGACAAAAAACAAAAACTGTACTTACTATTTACTTTATAAACAATTATACACAAAGAAATTTGAGTAAAAACATTACCTAAACCCTTTCCGTTTGCTTTGCTTAATCATTTTGACAACAGAAGATCTCTCGTATACATGGCCGCAAATTTTGTTACGCACAGGATCTGTCATCCTTTTCATGCTGATTGGATCAATGAGGTTTACTTCTTGCTGTGTGACAATCAGGTCACCATCTTCATTGTCATTTTCATTATCACCTAAAATAAAAAAAATCAAGTAGTTGACATTACTTTTATAAATATCCTAATGTGAAAAACAAAGAAGACATTTAAAAGGCTTCCAGTCATTTGCAAATACACAAGACATCGAATCATAAAACACATAAATAAACTGCTGATAAGTAATTTCAAGGGGCATAAAGACTCGACAAAAGATAAAATACATCTAGCTAAACTACAGATAGTGTCATATGCTCACCTGATTTCTCATTCTGCAACAATGCTCTGAAACTTTTGACACTGGAGTCGTTATTGACCACTTCCTGCAGATCGGTATTATCTTCCAAGCTCTTCAGACACTGGTCAAAGAGCTGGTAAATGGAAACATATCATTTTAATCTTTCCCTTTCTAGTTTGCCTTTATAAAATACTCTGGGATGATGAGCGTACACTTCTTATAAAACTCTGCCAATTGACATTAAAAATGTTTTGCTTTATTCAGAGTCTCGGCATTATGTCCACGGCATTATCTGGACATGTGTTACTCAAGCTGTGTCAGCTCCTCTACGTCACTGTAAAGGATACCAAACTGAAAACCACTGATCTGGACATTAATTCTGAAATAATCCGAACACCACGTCTATACTACTAATACTACTTCTTTACTTTATTTCTTTATCTTGTTTTCCAGGCAGTAATTATGACTTTTTAAGCAGAATGATCATTCCATACTTTTATCTTTCTTCAGAATTCTCATCTTGGCTTATTTTTCCGGCAGTCCTGACGGGGGGAGGCTTTCGTATCCTAATCTCAAGATTCTGGGCTTACCAAGTCTTATGCGGCTAAAAAGTCAATGGAATTCTATCTGAAATTATGAGAGATAAAAGACTTGACTTATGAAAAGTCTTGAAAAATTGACTTAGTGAAAAAGTCATCTGGATCTACTTGATCAAAGACAGGGGGACATGAATTTAAAAGTCTATCTATGTCTAGCTTGACATGAATATTAAAAAGTCATCTTAAAAATCTATTTGACTTATGTGAAGTAAAAAGTCATCTTGAAATTCTACCTGAAATATTGAATGCTATAAATATATATATTATGACTAATGCTGGAAAGAGAATATGAAATTAAGTGTGAAAAATGTTTTTTTTCAACACATAATAAAAAAAAACACCCTTTGAGTAAAGTATACATTCCTATTTGCTTAACTACATTTAATTTGTAATATTTATGCTTTTGTTAAAGTACAAACGACAATTTTCAAAAATGAAAGATAATGAAGGCTTTTAGCAATGCTGTTTTCTTAAATGAACCCCAAGGAAGGCACAATGAAGAAAAAATCTGTTTATCAATAAGCATATTCACTCAAATACAGCAAACTTATCTGTAATTTTACCCTGAGCAAATAATAATGTATTTATACATTACATTCAGAATAATTTAAAAATCCTATAATGTATTCAAAATAACCTAATAATTGAGAATCAAGCTGGCCCTCATAATAGTATTTGAATAACATTAAACAATATTTTCTGTGAATAAAATATATAAAAAAAAGTCTAAAATAAAATTATATAAAACCATATTTGAAAAGACAATCTCACCTCGCCCACATCATTTGCCTCTGCTGCTTCCTCGTTATCCAAAGACTTTGCGTTCTTTGCAGCTTGTCGTGCAATCTTTACTTTATGTTCAGCTACTGCACAACTTACCATAACTTCTTCAAGCTCAGCCATGTACTTCTTTCGTAAATGTTCTATAAAAACAAATACAGAAAGCGTGTGAA